TTTGAAGGATAGTCCTTTAGATAAGCCTCTCCCTTCAATAAACATGAACTCTGCAGGGGGGCGAGTCTGTACGCTCAGATCAACATGATGTCTACTGGTTTGTTTTAAAGAGCTGGTGAAAAATCCAAAACACTGTTTGTCTTCATCATGAAATGTTTCTTTGTTTCACTGCAAACTAATAAAGAAAACTTTTTTTAAATGTATTTCTTACTGTCAACACTGAGTAGAGTGTGCACAAACAAGATCAAACAAAGGGAAAAAATACTGTAAGGGCTGAAGTGCAGGCAAGTAGGAGGCAACAGGCAGATTGTAGATTACCTTAAAAACAACTTTATTAAAATATTTATTCAGAATTTTACAAGTGGGGCTCTATGTTACAAACAAACAAATATATTTACCTGTCATTCAAAGTTTATCGACGACCTCAGTTTGGAGAAACAGTGATTAGATCTGACTGGTGAGCTAACGATTAATATGAGTGGATGAAAGAATCAAAAAAGATATGTTAAAAACAGAAAAGGGTTAGCAAAAGGAGCAAAGCTAGCTACAAATTGTAGAAGGCTAGCCATGAGCTTAAAGTAAAAGAAGTTTAGCTAAAAGTCAAACGTTAGCTAAAAGCAGAAGGCTAGCTAACCGCTAAATGCCAGGTAAAAATGTCAAAAGGTTAGCTAAAAGCAGAAAATAGCTAAATGATAGCTATAAATAGTACAAGGCTAGCTAGAAGCTTAAAATAAAAAAGGTTAGCTAAAAGCCAAAAGTAACATAAGGCTAGTTGAAAATAGCAAAAAGCTAAATAAAGTAGCAACAGGCTAGCTAAAAGCTAAATTTAATTAAATTTTCATTCAACCTTTATTTATACAGGTTAGTCTCATTGAGCCTTAAGGACTCATTTATAAGAGAGACCTGATTTTAACAAAGAATGATGACAACAATGACAATCATAAAAGAAAGCAAATAAATTGAAAAAAATAAATGAAAGAAAATGACATTAAAAATATAAACAAAAACCGCTACATTATCAGAGTCAGAGCTTCTTTATTGTTGTTCGCACCACATGTGGTACATGTGGCGGAACGACATTATGAACACAGGGTCCCAGTTACATCCAACAATAAAATGTAAAAGAAAAACAATGATAACATCTAAGATATGAACTAAGAAAAACATCAACTACAAATACACTAGGCACTAATAGCATAAAAACATTACGTCGAACAGCAGCACGAACATGAGCATGAGTCTGTGTGAGCAGATGAGCACGCATGAACACATCAACATGAAACTTATGCCAGGTAAACATGGCAAAAGGTTAGCTAAA